ATCGAGAAGCTGACGATGGCCGGGCAAGGGAACCCTAAAGGGTCCATGTACTTCATTATTATGTACTTGGGCCCTAAAGTCCCTAAATAGGAGGTACTTTAAGGCCCAGGTATTCCATATTGAGGTACATGGACACTTAGGGGAACACTTGGGCCTTGTGAAGTACTTCCTAATGCCCAGTAGTACCCTTATTCCTTTTTTTTTTTTTTTTGGGGGGGGGGGGGGGGGGGTTTGGATTCCCTTATGAGCCCCTTTAAGCAAAAAAAGGGCACCCTTGTTTAAGCCCAGGTTACTGGGCAGCCTAGACTTTGGGGCCATGACCTGGGCTTTTGTGTTCGGGTTCAGCTGTAAGTATAAACCTGAAAGTAAGGTTCAGACTTCAAGGGTACCTGGACTCAAAGAGATGCCCTTGGCAAGCCCGAAATCAGTGACCACCAAACCCTGAACTCCAAACCCCAAACCCTCAATCCAAAAGAAATGCAAAAACACCTGGGGGGGGGGTTTACGAAATCAGGGGACCCCCAATAAAGACCCCACATAGTAGGATCCCCTTACAGTAAGGTACCTAACCCCCACCTAGAAGATCCAGAGCGCCAAACCCTGAAACCCTAAACCCTAAACCCTAAAACCTAAACCGTAAACCCATAAACCCTAACCCTGAAGCTGAAGCCCCTCTTTGCCTGAGCCTTCAAGTATCGGGCCAGGTCTGGGAGATCCGCGACGAGTGGAACAAAGAGCCCCTTGATCGCGCAGGTTTAGGGTTTAGGGCTTATAGGGCTTAGGGTTTCTTAGGGTGAAGCACATACAGTACATAATTCAAGGGATTAAGACTCGCAACGTTAAGGTTGTACCCGCCCTACAGGGTCGCAAGGGCACACCCTCAAGGGTCCAAGGTACAACCCCTCGAATAGTTCATGAGCCGAGATGAATATCAACCTTATCTACCCATTATCCACTCACACTGCCGTAGAGTTGAAGAGTAAGCCATCCTAATTCATGAAGCAGGGCTCACGCTGTTGAAGTTATTGTTGAGTGTGCATATTGTTCCTTTTCTGATATTGTTTTTTTTGGGGATGCTGCCTCTAAAGAAACCTACTGCATGCGGGCCGCTTCTTCCTGCAACTTATGTTGATCTTGTCAGTCGGTTTAGGGTTAGTTTAGGGTTTAGGGTTTAGGGTTTAGGGCTTAGGGTATGCGATACACGGACTTTTAACCCTGAACCCTAAGTCCTAATTCCTACATCAACCCTACGTGGCCTAGTCTCAAGGCCGTCTACCGTCACTCGCAGTTGAGCCGCTGTAATGAACCAGACGAAGCCATATTTGAAACCCGTCCGCCATCCCCCCTCCTCCCCTCCGCCCCCTCCGCCCCCTCCGGGTTCAGAGTTCAGAATTTGGGTTTGGGGTAACCCTTCCCGGAAGCTATCCTGCCTAAGCAGGAAGATTTCCCACACCCCCAAAACCCCAAAACCCTAAACCCTAAACCCCAAACCCCGAAACCCCCAAACCCTCAACCCAAAACCCCAAAACCCGAAACCCTAAACCCTAAACCCCAAACCCTAAACCCTACACCCTAAACCGAGAAAGGTGGGAGAAGCTGCGCACCGGCTCCTTCCAGTCATTGAACACGGACGACATGGATGAGCCTCACTTAGCCAACAGATGAAGGGTTTAGGGTTTAGGGGTTCAGGGTTTAGGGTTTAGGGTTTAGGGCTTTCGCGTTTCGGCTTCAGGGTTTAGGGTTTAGGTTTTAGACATTTCCTTATTTCGCATGTCAAGAAAGAAGTCGAACCTTATGAACTCCTTGAATGATTGGAGAACTCGAAGTACTTACTGTTCGTTAGCAGGGAATGAGGGAATTATCCCCCCGATATATGCCCTTTGAAGGATTAGAAAGGGTACCGCATTCCCCCAGACCCTAAAGCCTACCTAAACCCTATAAACCCTATAAACCCTAAACCGTAAACCCTAAACCCTAAACCCTAAACCTCTCTTACCTTTATATCTTTAACCTTAATGGCAGCAAATCGACCGGCCCTGTCGGTCACTGGCCCTGGGGCCAATCCTTCCAGATCGACCGGCCCTGTTGGGCACTCAAGGGTCTGGCCTTGTCCTACGCGCACGCTGCCTTGGCCTTGGCCTTGCCCCCCCCTCCCCGCCCCCTCCCCCCCCCTCCCCCTCTCCCCCCCCCCTCCCCGCCCCCCTCCCCTCCCCCCTACTCTCCCCTGGCTCTTCTTCTGGCCTCTGCGGGTCCATGACAGAGTGAGGTTGGAGGACAGGGCTTGCTGATGAAAACTGTAGACTTTGTGTTTCTTATTGTTTTGGGATTCTCTGGGTGGGTGGGTTTTTTTCGAGAGGCCAAACAGCAGCTCTACTAGAGATTGCTCGACCCGGAGCTGCTGAACCCTAAACCCTAAACCCTAAACCCTAAACCCTAAACCCTAAACCCTAAACCCTAAACCCTAAACCCTAAACCCTAAACCCTAAACCCTAAACCTAAACCCTAAACCCTAAACCCTAAACCCTAAACCCTAAACCCTAAACCCTAAACCCTAAACCCTAAACCCTAAACCCTAAACCCTAAACCCTAAACCCTACCATAAGTCAGAGTAAGGAGCTGGCAATGCAGTTCTTGGGCCGAAACCGCAAGGCGCCCTTGGGAGGGAGGGCTCTATATGGGCTTCGGGGCTCAGGGGCTCAGGGACTTAGGGGTTTAGGGTTTAGGGTTTAGGGTTTCGGGGTTAGGGCTTGTTTGGGGGTTTTGGTTTCTTCAACCTTGGGGCTTCCAGATTGCAAGTTGGGGTTTAAGGTGTTTGCGGCCCTTGATTTGCGGGGTTTAGGGTTTAGGGTTTAGGGTTTAGGGTTTAGGGTTTAGGGTTTAGGGTTTAGGGTTTAGGGGTACCTTATTGGGGTCCATACTCTAAGGGAGTCTTAGATATTTGGGGGACTAAAAATGGGGGGGGTCCCCGATTTTCGAAAACCATCGCCTGTTTGGTCCCCGGGGCATGAATTTAAGAGTCCTTGGGGGCTTAAGGGCTTCGGGTTAGGATTCAGGGGTTTGGGGGTTGGGGGTTTTGTGTTCAGGGCTTAGGGCTTAAGGTTATTTAAGAGTCCTTGGGGGCTTAGGGTTAGGATTCAGGGGTTTTGGGGTTTGGGGGTTTGCGGGTTTGGGGGTTGGGGTTTTGTGTTTAGGGCTTAGGGCTTAAGGTTCAGGGCCCAGCGTTTAGGGTTTTAGGTTTAGGGCCTTTCGCATCAGATGTGCATGGCCGGTTCTTCCGGTTTCGGAATGTTTTGGGGACGGTACAGCGGTCACCTATTCCCGCTCCTTGGCGGTGTAAGCCTCTGTCGTGATCTTACAAGCACCGTTCAGCAAAAGTAGGGACTCTTCCTGAGTTTTCTGGGGAACGTACTGAAGAAAACCCTAAACCCTAACTCTGGACCCTCACGCTCCTACTAGGCACTCTTCCCAATACCCTGTACCCTACCCGACACCTTCGATCTCGTCCAGGTGATTGGCAAGGACAAGAACGTCCAAAACTGGCACCGTGGCGGCTAGTAGCGGCTGGCTGGTATGGCCGGCTTACAAGGATGGCAACTCTCAACCCGAAACCCTCACCCCCCCCCACCCCTCGAGTGCCTCAACTTTTTTGTTGTTTTAGCAAGCGGCGGGGGCTCCTTCGAGGATTCCGGTGTTCCTCAGTTTGCAGGTATTGGGATGGCGGTTGTGGTTTAGGGTTCTCGATACAGAGCGCACTTCAGGGGTACAGATCCGGGTTCAGGTTCAGGTTCGGAGCTGGGGATCTGGTTAGGGTCGAAGGGTTCCGGGTTTGAAGCCGTTTGCGGCCTTTGTGGCTTTTGAACCAACCCTCAATGCGTAAGTCCAAAAAATTCGTTAAAGCCCCTGCGACACTGAACACTAAATCTCTGAGACCGAAATCCTGCAATCCCGGATTCCTCCAACCCTTAACCAGCTTAGTGCGTAATATAGGGGTCGGACCATGTGATGCTCTTCATACCCTCATAGTCCAGTATCTTATCCACAAGCCCCAGGTATTGGATTCATAGGCCTGACAGCTAAGACGGTGGTATACCCGTGTGAATCTGATGGAGCATGTGAGCGCCCCTAACAACACTGTGGGTGCTACAAGACGAAAAGTATTACCTGGTGATGAAGGTGTGTACCACACGTGAGGGCGATTGATGAATCGTATTCCCTTCTGGTCCCCACATCTACAACTTCCCCAAAGGATCCATGTACCTATATGGTATATACTTGGGCCTTAAAGGGGTTCCTATATAGTAGCTTTAGGGCCCAAGAATATACTATATAGGTACATGGATCCTTTGGGTTCCGCCAAAGCCTTATTCACATTTTTGACGCCCCTATATTATACAGGGTGCCGCCTCGGGTGATTTTCTAAGGGTTCTGAAGTATCGGCCCTTGGGTTGTATAGGGTATATAAGGGTATAATAAGGGTATATAAGGGTATATAAGGGTATATAAGGGTATATAAGGGTATATAAGGGTATATAAGAGGCCCCCCATTTAAGGGCCCATATTGAGGGACCATGTACCTACCCTCAGATGCCAGTCGAGGGCGCGAATCATGTGGGGGGGGGGGGGGGGGGGGGGGGGCGGTATCCCACGTCCGTACCCCTCGGTTATGCCCCGCGTCACGTGAACTTCAGGGTTTCGCGTTTAGGTCAGTGGGTGGATTTCTGGGTGGCCTGATGACTGAAGGCTCGAGGCCCCATCCATGAAGCTCCCTATAGAAGAAGCTGAAAGCCCAATACGAGTGCTCTTGGGGACTGTGCAGCGTTGATCATGAGAAATCAGGTGCGCATGTCGACGTTTAAGTTTAAGGTCCTGAGGGGAGGTTGTGTCATAAGTGCCCCTCAACCCTAACAGACAGCTCAAACCCGCAAACCCTAAACTCTGAACCCTAAACCCTAAACCCCAAGCCCATCACACCCATCACACCTCCACCCACCTCTCGTCCCAGGCAAGTTTATCAGGACCTCAAGTCCGACTTGGACACTTTCCGCAACATGCCCCTCGGCCATCGGTGGCTCTGTAAGAAGGTCATACAGGCGGTTACTTGTGGGTTTCAGAGCTTAGGACTTGCAAGGAGGGGCCCACTTGCTATACTTACTATAGTTGCGGGACTTATAACCTAAGTTAGGATCCTTATCGCCCCATCTTTATTTCATCATAACTCTACTTAACGGGGGGCCCTTTCTTGTAGGGCTTAGGGCTTCAGGGCTCTGTAGGCTTGGATTCCTTCAGCAGAGTTGGAGCTACTAAGGAGTATGAAGGAATCCTCCGTTCCCTAACGCCCCCTCACACACCCAGCCCTCAGCGACTCTCTCTTGAAGACGTTCTTTGGAATTCGAGTTCAGGGTTTAGGGTTTAGGGTTTAGGTTTTAGGGCTTAGGGTTTAGGGTTTAGGGCTTAGGGCTTAGGGTTCAGGGTTTAGGGATTCGGTTTAGGATTTAGGGAACTACCCATGTTCCGCTGAGAACCTTGAGCTGGCAGGATGCCGGTGATCCAGAACTTGCGCGCGGACGCCATGCGCGAGCGGCACATTGAGGCGGTGGTGAAGGAGGTGAAGGACGCCGTTCACTTGCCCTAAACCCTATAAACCCTATAAACCCTATAAACCCTATAAACCCTATAAACCCTATAAACCCTATAAACCCTATAAACCCTATAAACCCCATAAACCCTATAAACCCTATAAACCCTAAACCCTAAACCCTAAACCTAGATTTCTCAGGGTTTCACTCTAAGATTCTTTGTTGGGGCTTCTTTCAGGGCTTTTAGGGTTTGTAGGGTTTTTTAGTTTTTTCTGCTCTGCTGATAGTTGTTCTAAGGTTTTGGTAATCTGGCAAGAGTTGTTTGTGTTTGTTGCTGTGGTGGGGGAGGGGCTCTTGAGGCTCTGAGCTCTAAACCCTGCAAACCTCTACAAACCCTAAACCCTAAACCCAAAACCCTAAACCCTAAACCCTAAACCGGAGTCAGGCGACAGGGATCACGGTGTGAGGCTTGCCCCTCCCCCCCCGCCCCCCCTCCCGGCAGTCCGTTGTTCAACTTCAGGTTCTAGACATTATCACCCTAAGGGTCCATGTACCTAAATAGGGAATATTTGGGCCTTAAAGTACCTCCTCTTTAGGGACTTTAGGGCCCAAGTGCATCATAATGAAGTACATGGACCCTCAGGGTAAGGTTTTAGGTTCAAGGGTTTAGTCGGGTTTTGGGGCTTTAGGCTTTCATGGTTTGAGGGTATTTAGGGTAAGGGTTGTCGGGTTTTTGGAACTTAGTTCGTACGCTTAAACCCGGTATCTAGATGTAAACGCCCTACTTGTCTTGCTAAGTTCCCCAAGCCTCGAAGCATATCCAAAACCCAAACCCTAACGAAAAATACCCTGAAACCCTAAACTTAACACCCTAGGCCCCACCCCCCCTCCCCCTAAACACTAGACGCGAAGACACGGAACCCTAGACCCCTGAACGGTAAACGCACCACACCCCAAACCCCTCAACCCTAAACCCTAGACCCCTAAAACCCCAGTCCCTAAACCTCTGATCCCTAAACCCTAAACCAGGAGTCCTTCAATCCGAAAGATCCCGGCTTCACGCTCCAAAGGGTCGTCGACCTGGGCCTGCAGAACCACTCGGACCTCATCGCCAGGACTTCTGTGGTTTAGGGTTTAGGGTTTAGGGTTTAGGGTTTAGGGTTTAGGGTTTAGGGTTTAGGGTTTAGGGTTTAGTACAGGGTGCAGTATTTAGGGTTTAGGGTTAAGGGTTTAAGGTGGTTTAAAGGGTGTAGGGTTCAGGTTTAAGTTTTAGGGTGGTCTGCGTTGTTTAGGTTTCGGGGTTGGGGTTCAGGGTGGTTTACATGGTCTTGCGGTCTAGGGCCTGCAGCGCGGTAGGGTTTAGGGTTTACATGGTCTAGGGTTTACATGGTTTAGGGCTTATAGGGTTTAGGGCTCAGGTAACGCATCCTGACAGCCCGAGTAAAACCCAAATCTACCCTTGAACTGAAATGGCAGTGAGTTTTTTTCCGGGCTTGTAACAGGCACCGGGGGGTCCCTCCGCGACAAAGGTTTGTAACAGACGTGCCGTGTCCGCGGCAACCCCCCCCGTGACAAGGCTACAACCCCCCCCCCCCCCACAAGACAGCAATACCATTGAATTTTCTCATTGCCAATCTCGATGCGACCTTGATGCGTGTCTGCAGCAACTTTCACTCTCAGTCCGCGACAAGGCCTGCGACAGGGCGCGACATACCCGCGACAACCCGCGCGACTGCTCGAGCCAGCAGGTGCCCATCCGTAGGACAACCTTGAACGAGAAGCCCAGGGTTTATATTTACAGGGTTCAGGGTTTAAGGCTCTCCAGTAAAATCCCTGCGGTCCCTAAACCCTTCATCCGAAACCCCAACCCTAAACCTAAACCCTTCACCCTAAACCCTTACAAAACCCAACTAAGAAAATTGGGTTCAAAGTAGCGGCGCGACAAAGGTATGAAACAACCTGCCCGCGACAAGGCTTGTAGCAGAGGGCGGGGGGGACCCCCCGCGACAACCCGAATTTTGACCCACTGCCAAATGTGAGTGCGGGGTCTGGGACCTACACCCTAGAAGCCTCAAACCCAACACCCTCTACTACATCCTGAACCCTAAGCCCTAAACTTTAGGCCCTAAACTTTGCTGTAAAACCCTATGTCCTAAGCAGCCTTCACGTTTCGAGAGGCTTTGCGATGACGCCAAGAAGGAGGCCAAGATCGAAAATGGTTTGGAAGACATTGCCAGGACCTACGTCAGGGTTTAGGTTTTCGGGTTTAGGGTTTAGGGGTCGGAATAATGACGAATAATTTTCGCTGATGGTCCCTTTATCAATATACTTTCGTATCCCCCAAAACCCTAGTCTTCTTCTTCGTATTATTATTATTATTGAGGAAGGTTTAGGGTCTTAAACCTTAACCCCAAATGGGGATTGATCATAATTACAGGAGGTCCTTGTGACCGTAAACTATGAGGCATGTACGGAAAAGTTGCCAAAGAAACACGGACCCGGAAGTTCGACGAATCCGATAAATCCTCAAATCTTCAAGCCCTGGCTAAATCAACTCATACACCTTGAGCCTTAAGTAGCCTAAACCCTAAACAAAAACCCCAAGCCCCAAGCCCCAAGCCCCAAGCCCCAAGCCCCAAGCCCCAAGCCCCAAGCTCTAAGCCCTAAGCCCTAAGCCCTAAGCCCTAAGCCCTGAACCCTGAACCCTGAACCCTGAACCTAACTTTAATCCCTAAACGTTTGAAGACCACTTCTCGGATCCTCCATCCCAGGGGCCCCCTGGATGGACCGCTTGACATTTCTAGGCGTTTCCGAATCGTCGGGTTTAGGGGTTAGGGTTTAAGGTTTAGGGCTCAGGGTTTAGGGTTACAGCTTTGGCCAAAAAGATCCCAAATCCTGAGCCCATAAACCCCAAAACGAGGATTTGGGCCACCATGACGATCGACGTCGTGGAGCACAAGGGTGATGCGTGCCCCTGCTCATAATATCTTCCCTTCCCCGCCTGGCCCCCAACCCTATACCCAGACTACGCCACAGGGTAGGCTCTTTGCATTTTCATGAACTTGGCTCAGAACTCTGAATAGTCAGGTCAGTCATGCTCTCCGCTCATGCTGAAGTAGAGAGGGCGGGAGGGGCGGTGGGTAGGGCAACCTCTAGACCCTAAAGCCCTTCAACCCTACACCCCAAACCCTGCACCCCAAACCCTAAACCCCAAAACCCTAAACACATGAAGAGTTTATTTTACTGTTTTGGTGAGTGTATATACCCTACTTCACATATATAAGGTTCCTTTTTAAATATTGGTGAGTGAAGTATATACCCTACTTCACATGAAGCCCGAAAGCCCAAAAACCCAGAGCTGCCCTTCCTCGGTGCTTAGGGTTTAGGGTTTAGGGTTTAGGGTTTAGGGTTTAGGGTTTAGGGTTTAGGGTTTAGGGTTTAGGGTTTAGGGTTTAGGGTTTAGAGAGACGTCCCTGAGGTTCAAAGTGCGAAGCACTGAGGAGCTCTATCAGGCTGGTCCCGGGGGCTTTGCGTGCTTAGACAAACGTCAGCTCGAGGCTTCTAGCCCTAAACCCTAAACCCTAAACCCTAAACCCTATTAGCCTCTACCTCCCCACACTAAGCCAGTCCCAAAACAAGGGTTAGACACGATGGAAGATTGGAGTTTTGGGGTGTTTGAGTGTTAGGGTGCTCTTCGGTTAGTTACCTGGTCCCTGAATATGGGCCCTTAAATGGGGACCCCGACTTTACCCCTTATATACCCTGTACAACCCAAGGGCCCATACTTCAGACCCCTTCAAGGGGTGTAAAGGGACCATGAGTAAGGGACCATGAGGCTTCCCCTAAACCCTGAACCCTAAACCCTAAACCCTAAACCCTAAACCCTAAACCCTAAACCCTAAACCCTAAACCCTGCCCTTAGAGTGTGAGGTTGAAGGGTTCGGTTAGCTAGAGTTTTGACTCTTATGTTTTCGAGTTCAGGGTCCAGACTAAACCCTAAACCCTGAACCCTAAACCCTAAACCCTAAACCCTAGAGTTTAGGGTTTAGGGTTTAGGGTTTAGGGTTTAGGGTTTAGTCTGTAGAGTTTAAAGCAGAACCCGACGCACTAAGCTGCGGCCCCCTGAAGCTCAATCCCTGTCAACCCTCTCCCTTATCTCACGTTAGGCTTAGGGTTTCGGGTTTTTTGCCACACGGTTTCTGGATCTCTTGGGGCTTAGGGTTTAGGGTTTAGGGCTTTGGGGTGTAGGGATGTAGGGTTGCTGCAGGCTTTGGATGAGAACATCCAGGCTTTGTCGTCGTACAAGAGCCCCTTGGCAGCAACTGCCATGGCGCCAACATTCTGTGGCACATAAGCCTAACCCTAATCCCTAAGCCCTAAACCCTAAACCCTAAACCCTAAACCCTAAACCCTGGCCACACCACGACGCGCAGAGCTAGTAGGCTGCAAAGTTGAAGTCCAGGAGAAAGCCCTAAACCCGAAACCCTACAAAACCCAGCCTAAATCCTAAACCCTAAACCCTCCCACTCCAGGTTTAGAAGTCCTGTTGGGTACAGGGCCCACCAGTGTCTACACAACGCCCAGGGTGCGCCATAGAAGTCTCAATCCATCCTCAGCTGCAGCTTGTTCTAAAGCATTAGGAATCCCAAGGTGTAGGGTTTCGGGTTTAGGGTTTAGGGTTTAGGGTTTGGGGTTTGGGGTTTAGGGATCCCATATGATGGCTTCTCTACAACATGTTCCCTTTTGGGGTCCTTACAAAGAGGCGGCCCCTGCGCGTACCTACTGTTTAGGGTACCCAAAAAGGGATCATAACTTGGAGAACTGACCATACCGGGGAGCCGAGCTGCATTTGGAGTTGAATTCCAGTATAGATAGAAGTTATACCAGAACAGGAACTAAGACCCGGAGAAGGCCCTTATTCCCTTGTTTTGGGTTTAGCTTCCCTTATAAGCCCCTTTAAAGCAAAAAGGTTACCCCTCTACTCCTACTTTCTCTACAACCCCTCTGGTGCCTTTTATATTCCGTCCCTGCTCAAGTAGCCTCAAAATGGCCCCTAAACCCTAACCCTAAACCCAAAACCCTAAGCCCTAAACCCTAAACCCCAAACCCCAAACCCTAAACCCTAAGCCCGAAGCCCTAAACCCTAAACTTGAGTTTCCCACCTTCCCCCCCGTGCAAGCCGGCTCCGGGGTCAGGTTCGCCATTCTACCTGCCCTTCGCGGCCAAGGTTGGTCCCAACTGATTTGGTTTAGGGTAAGGGTTAAGGGTTTAGGGTTTAGGGTTAAGGGTTTAAAGGGTTTTAAGGGTTTTAAGGGTTTAAAGGGTTTAAAGGGTTTCAAGGGTTTCAAGGGTTTTGGGTTTAGGGTTCAGAGGTCAGGGTTCAGGGTTTAGGGTTTACGCCCTTAAAACTGTTGAATGTTTTGCAGGAACCCGCACCCGTAGCAACATATATTTTTAGACCTAGACCACAAACACCAAGCGAAGCTTATAGGGTTCTTGAGGAAGGCAGGGGGGCGGGGGGGGAAGGGGGCCGACTGGACCCCCAATTCTCTAGTACTCCCGAGAACTCCCTAGGTTTTTTGTTGGTTATATTAAGTTTTCAGCCTCCTGGGATACCTCACCGATTGAACCACTAAACGGTTCTCCGTTGGGATGGCATCTCTGCGGTCTTGTGCTGCAAGGAACTAGAGGCTTTGGCGTAGAACGACCTTAGACTGGCCGATGCTTTGGGAGAAAGCTTAGGGCTCGTAAAGGGCGTCGGGTTTAGAGTTTAGGTACAAGGTCAACTGGATGTTGCAATTAGCTGTTGAAATAAGTCTATGATGCGTGTACATGCAAACATGTTTGAGACTATTCCTGTTTATTAGGGCGAGGGTCTCTCTAGGTCCAGCATTGGGAGTTCTACTTACAGCATGACTTTAGGAGCGAGTAGCTACTTTGACTATGATGGAGGCTGGTTGTGTTCTGATAAGCCCTAGCTATCCCTAGCCACTAGATGCTAGAGCCCGAGCCTTAAACCCTAAACCCCTAACCTAAAACCCTCAACCTTAAACCCTAAACCCCCCAAACCCCCCTAACCCTAAAAGACCCCCAAGTCCTGAAGCTGTTGCGTTCCAGGTCGAGCATTGGGAGAAGACCTTGGCCAACATCTCGGAGGTCCTGTTGCTAAGTCGATAAGCCCTTTACCCACCCTAAACCACAAACCCGACGCTCTACACCCTAAAACATGGCTTACTCCCCTGCAACGCGGAAGCCTTCAGCTCCAGCAGCAACACCCATGGGACTTCTACACCCTAAACCCTAAACCCTAAACCCTAAACCCTAAACCCTAAACCCTAAACCCTAAACCCTAAACCCTAAACCCTAAACCCTAAAACCCAACCCGAGGAAGAACCTGAAGCTGGGCCCCCCTTCCCCCTAACCCACAAGCAGAACAGAACCCCCTAAAAACAAGACTCGGCCCTCAGAGGACCCCTAATGTTCGCAACACGCCCCCCCCCCCCCCCCCCCAAAAAAAAAAAAAAAAGAGAGTAAACACAAAATTAAAATGATAATAATAATATATGTATATATATATATATTCAAATAAAGAGCAAGTTGCCATCTTAAGCACACTGAAGCCCTAAGCTCTAGAGCCTGAACCTAAACCCTAACTTCTAAACCCTGAACCCGAAACCCGAAACCCTAAACCCTAAACCCTAAACCCTAAACCCTAAACCCTAAACCCTAAACCCTAAACCCTAAACCCTAAACCCTAAACCCTAAACCCTAAACCCTAAACCCTAAACCCTGACCCTTAAACTCCTGAAGCCTGCATTCTGGTGAGAGCAGGTCACGGAAGCCATCCAGTCTGTGCAAAAGTCCTGGATGCAACCTGTCTATATCCAGGAACCCCTGGGTTGATCCAACAACAGTAGAGCCCCCCCCTACTAGTTCCCTTTTCTACTATTGGGTCATGTTACCCTAAACCCTAAACCCTAAACCCTAAACCCTAAATCATCAACCCTAAGCCCTTGAGAAGGGATCTAGAAGACTGTTGGGGATCCTCCCAAGGGTCTGGGTAGAAGTCTTCAGGGCGTCTCTTTTGGGGGGGCGTTCCGGGGTCGAGCCAAGCCCGCTAAATTTTACGAGGCCTGCACCTGAAGAAGCCCTAAGTCCTCAAGGGAGTGGGGTTAGGGATTATGGTTCAGGGTTCAGGGTTTAGGGTTTAGGGTTCAGGGTCCCGGGGCCCTAACCACTGGGAACCCTGAACCCTCCAGCGCAAGGTACCTGGAGAACGTCTTTCGGGGCTCGGAGGATATTCGCCCGCACCTTCCGGACGAGTCCATCATGCTCCCTGCCTAGCAGACCTATACCACCTAAACCCTAAACCCTAAACCCTAAACCCTAAACCCTAAACCCCGAACCCCTAAAACCCTAAACCCCGGATTTAGGGTTTAGGGTTAGCCCTAAAACCCTAGCTCCCCTAAAACCCTCACTCCCAGAGACTTCAGCGCCAGAGCCCTAGCTGCACTTCCGCCGAGACCGCAAGCCCGAACTAGGCCCTAAGCCCCCAACGGAAATCCGACGAAACCTAATCCCTAAAACTCTAAACACGACACCCTCCCTAAACCCCTAAACCCTTAACCCTGAACCCTAAACCCTAAACCCTAAGCTCTAAACCCTAAACCCTAAACCCTAAACCCTAAACCCTAAACCCCAAACCCTGCGCTGTGCCGGCCCTAGGTTCGATGAGGTCAACGAAGGCTTCATCAACATGATGAGGCCATGGCCGTAGCCAGAGTACAAGGGTTTAGGGTTTAGGGTTTAGGGTTTAGGGTTTAGGGTTTAGGGTTTAGGGTTTAGGGTTTAGGGTTTAGGGTCCAGGGGTTCAGCCTTTTAGGGTTCATATGGTGATTTCTCTAAATGTTGGTCCCTTTTGGGCTCCTGATTATAAGGGGGGCACCTCTTTTTTTGCGGTACCCAAAAGGGGACCCTTATTTTGGAGAACTGACCATATGTTGGGGGGGTATCAGCAAGAAGCTCATAGCTAGCGGCACAGGACGCCTCTAGCACCAAGCAGTCCCAGGCCTCCAAGAAAAAAAGTACCCCTAAACCCTAAACCCTAAACCCTAAACCCTAAACCCTAAACCCTAAACTGCAGCCCAAAACCCTTCACCCTAAACCCCAAACCCTAAGCCTCAAATCCCTGGGCAGGAAGGTCTACCAGGAGCCTCTGGCGACCAAGGCCTGCTCACAGCCGAAGATGTTGGAGACCCTTTGCAAGGAATTGGGCACGAGCCATGTGATCAGGGCTTAGGGTTTAGGGTTTAGGGTTTAGGGTTTAGGGTTTAGGGTTTAGGGTTTAGGGTTTAGGGTTTAGGGTACATCACCCTCTATTTGTAAGCCGCGTGTTCTGTTCCCCCTTGTAAGGCTTCGCTGAGGGTCCTTGAAACGCTAAACTCTCAGCCCCAAGCCCCAATTCGCAAGCTCTAACCTTGAAGCCCGACATACCAAACCCTAAACGACTCTGAACCCAAAACCCCTAACCCCTAACCCCTAACCCCTAAACCCTAAACCCTAAACCCTAAACCCTAAACCCTAAACCCTAAACCCTAAACCCTAAACCCTAAACCCTAAACCCTAAACCCTAAACCCTAAACCCTAAACCCTAAACCCTAAACCCTAAACCCTAAACCCTAAACCTAAACCCTAAACCCTAAACCCCAACTCCTAGCTCCTAAACCCGTCACTCTTACAAACCTCAATCTGCGCCCCGAGCCTTACACCGCCCAAGGAACCTGCAGACTTTCGAAGCTTCTTTGGAGACTCGGCGCAGGCCACTGAAGGCTTCCTCTATGTTTCGTCCTCCAAAGCTTTAGGGTTTGGGAATTCTGGGTTTAGGGTGACGATTTAGATTTTCCTGAGTGTTTAGGGTTTAGGTTTTAGGGTTTAGGTGAGGGCGCACACTATGGTAGGGTTCGGAGTTTGGTCTTTGGACAGGACACGTGCTTCTTGCCTCACCCCGTATCCACGAGTGCACAACCTAAACCCCTACACCCTACCCTAACCCCCCCAAACAAGCCACCCTAAGCCCGCTTTAAATCCCTAAACCTCAAAAATGCCAAGAAGAAGCCTTCTACCCTAAACCCTAAACCCTAAACCCTAAACCCTAAACCCTAAACCTGAAACCCCGAAGTGCCAAGGAAAACATCCAGAAGAAGCTCAACGACTACCTGGAGAAGAAACGCTCCTGGGCCCGAACTTGAACCTCTGGATGCCCCCAGATTTAGGGTTTGGAGGCTTGAGGGTTTAGGGTTTAGAGTTTAGGGTTTGGAGGCTCTAGGGTTTAGGGTTAGGGTTTGGTGGGGTTTAGGGTTTAGGGTTTAGAGAGTTTAGGGTTTAGAGAGTTTAGGGTCTCGGATCAGGGTTTGTGTGTTTTGTGGGGTTTTGCAGTGTTTTGTTGGGGTTTGTGGGGTTTGTCGGGTTTGTCGGGTTTGTGGGGTCGGAGTTCAGGGTCTGTGGTTACAGAGGGTTTATGGGGTTTATTGGTGTTTACGGTTTGCAGGGTCTAGGGTTTTTTGCGGGGTTTGCAGGGTTTACACTTTGTAGGGTCTATAGGGTTCGTGATCCACTACACTCTAAACCTGAGACAATTCCGGTCCTGGGCTTTAGGGCTTGAGGGTGTAGGCCCCCCCCCCCCAGTGGGCTCCGGATTGCAGCCTTGCAGCCCAGACTCGAACTTTTTAGGGTTTAGGGTTTTGCGTTTGGGGTTCAGGGGTTCAGGGTTTAGGAGGTTTAGAGTTTAAAGGTTTAGGGTTTAGGGTTTAGCGTTTGGGGTTCAGGGGTTCAGAAAGTTCAGGGTTTAGGAGGTTTAGAGTTTAGAGGGCTTCTTCTGAACCTGTTTTGGGTGCACCGGTTGGTTTTACCATGGGATTCTTCCTTGGACTCTTAAGGCTGCACCCTGGGGTTTGAGGAGTTTTCTAACACAATCCTTGTTAGGGGTACCTCCTAGGAGTACATCCTTAGGGGTCTGAGTATGACTCCCTTGAGTTGAGGGTTTAGGGGTTTGAGGGTTCAGATTTTGGGGCTTGTGTTGAGGGTTTAGGGGTTCAGGGTTCAGATTTTTGGGGGAAGAGAGCAGAAGCCTGGATGTCGAGAGGGTTTAGGCTGAGGGCTGATAGCCTATAAACCCTACAATACGCGCTTTGCGATGTTTTTATTCTACCTGCCCGAAATGCCCATGTTTTATGCAATAGGCGCCTAGACTCTGATTGTCTAACGGTAGTTACATGTTCCCTCAACATGGTCCCTTACCTGCTTCAAAGTTGCAAAGGTTATTTACGGGGCCCCCATTTAAGGGCCCATACTAAGGGACCATACAACTAATTACCCTCAGAAATGGGCCCTTTGATTTTCGGGAACGTGCATTTGGATCAACTGACTCGTGGATGTAGAGCTCGGGCTTTGCAAGCTGAGCACGGCCTACACGCTTCAGGGATCTGTCCCCTTTCTCGAACTCTTAGGGTTTAGGGTTCAGGGTATAGGTTCAGGGTTAAGGGTAAGCTTCGGAAGGGGTAGGGTTAGGGTAAGTTGCGGGGGGTGTAGGGTTTAGGGATGCCAGTGATGCCAGTGCCCCAAGTTGGGAGAGGACAAACCTGGTAACCTGACTTTACTGCCAGTTTAAAAAAACTTAAACCCTAAACCCTAAACCCTAAACCCTAAACCCTAAACCCCAAACCCCAAACCCTAAACCCTAAACCCTAAACCCTGAACCGTCAGCTCCCTGGTGGAATAAACCAGCCCTGGCCTAAACTAGGACGCAGAGTCGGCCCTTATCCCCTTCTTTTGTGGTGTAGGCTATAAACCTCTCTAAACGTCTAAACCCTAAACCCTAAACCCTAATAACCCTAAAGGTCAGTTCTTCCCGCGATTCTACTTCATCTCCAACGATGACCTTCTGGAGATCCTCGGACAGGCTGGATGGTTTTCGTTTAGGGTTTAGGTTTTAGGGTTTAGGGTTTAGGGTTTAGGGTTTAGGGTTTAGGGTTTGTCGCTTGTCGACTTACAGGCTTTCTGCTTCTGAGGTCTCAAGGTTTAGACTGGGACCTATAGGGTAGGCCCTTACTCAGGTACTCCCTAAACCCTAAACCCTAAACCCTAAACAAACCCTAAACCCTAAACCCTAAACCCTAAACCCTAAACCCTAAACCCTAAACCCTAAACCCTAAACCCTAAACCCTAAACCCTAAACCCTAAACCCTAAACCCTAACCCTTTTTGCAGGGGTTAGGTTCCCCTCCAGCCCTCCAGCCCTCCTCCAACCTTCGCGTATCCGGAAGCCCAAGCGGTTTAGGGCCTCGGTTTAGGGTTTGGGATTTGGGGTTTCGGGTTTGGGGTTTAGGGTTTAGGGCTTAGGGTTTAGGATTTATTTAGAGATCCTAAGCCCTAAGCACTGGACTCGGGCAGGCGAGGGACCCAGAGCAGGTGCAGAAGCACATCAAGAAGTGCTTCGAAGGCCAGCTTGATCGAACAATCAAGCCCGAACTTGGGTTTAGGGTTTAGGGTTTAGGGTTTAGGGTTTAGGGTTTAGGGTTGAGGGTTTAGGGTTTAGGGTTTTGGGTTTAGGGATGTTCCCCCTTATACTAACTTGAGGACTTCTGATCGGCACAGGGGTACTCTAATCCCTATTCAGGACTGCTAGTACACTAGGGGGAACGTCCCACGCCGAAGCCTTGAAGACTGAAGCTTGAACTAGGAGCATGCGTGGGCCCTTATCCCCTTTTTTTAAGGGTTTTTTCTAAACCCTAAACCCTAAACCCTAAACCCTAAACCCTAAACCCTAAACCCTAAACCCTAAACCCTAAACCCTAAACCCTACACCCTAAACCCTAAACCCTAATCTAGGTTCCCAGGCAACTCCTGGGTCTGGTGACCTCGAAACACCAAGTCCTGAACCTTTTCCCCCCGACCGTGGACACCCTGAACTCCTCCCCCACACCTGAGGCTTTTAACTCTTGTTTAGGGTTTAGGGTTTAGGGTTTAGGGTTTAGGGTTTAGGGTTTAGGGTTTAGGGTTTAGGGTTTAGGGTTTAGGGTTTAGGGTCCCGCCTGAGGCTTTTAGAACTCTTTCGTCCGCGCAGGCCTTGGCTCCAGAGCAGTTGAGGCTTTAGGCTTTAATCCCTCTCCCTAAACCCCTAAATCCTAACCCCTTTAATAGAAACTATCCCGAAACCCCAACCCTAAACCCGTAAGTCCTAAACCTTTAAAGATAAAGGGGCTACATGTAAAAAGGAGCTTCTCTAGGGCGCCCTGAAGAAGGCTGAGGCCCCCAAGTCGGAATCACAAAACTTTGGTTATAGTTCAGGGACTTCTTGGCAGCCCATTTTTGTCTTAAGTAGGGTTAGTAGGGTTTAGGGTTTAGGGTTTAGGGTTTAGGGTTTAGGGTTTAGGGTTTAGGGTAAGTTGGTGTTATGGGGAGTATTAAAGGATTTTCAGAAAAGACTTAGTAGACTTGCCAAATCAAAAGGGCTTCCAGTGTTCTGAAGCCAATGACAGTAAGGGCCTGCAAATTTTCCAGCGGGCAAGCTGCAGCAAGCCCAAGCCACGTGTGGCGAAAGCATGCGAAAGCCTGCGAAAGCACCCAAGGATAATTAAGGACACGCTACTAAGTTCATACGGAGTCCCGGACCCGTTGCCGAGCATCCGCCGCAATGGCGACGTCTCCTGAGTTCCTTGTCCATGTGGTCCTGCTGAGTGGACGAACTGTGGAGATCACTGTCTGCAACGAGTCTTGCTACCCCTGGGGTACCCTTTTGCCTGTTTGTTTTTGGTTCTAGATTCCCTTGACAAGAAGGCCCCCCCCCCCCCCCCCCCTTGTCACAAACTCTAGACCCTAAACCCTAAACCCTAAACCCTAAGCCCTAAACCCTCAACCCCAAACCCTAAACCCTAAACCCTAAACCCTAAACCAAGGAGTCGTCTGTTCGAGAGGTGCAGCTGAAGGCTCTCAGAGACCTTAGAGTGGCGAATGGCGTCTTGAAGAACGATCGCGGCGAGTCCCTGAGCTTCCAGGTTGCCCAGTAGTACCTTTTGGGGGTTTAGGGTTTAGGGTTCAGGGTTTAGGGTTTAGGGTTTAGGGTTTAGGGTTTGGGGTTTAGGGTTTAGGGTTTAGGGACATGGTGGGCTTTTCTGGCTGGTTCTTCGTCGGGAATGAGGGAATCAGGGCGCTACAAGATCCCATAAAGGGTATATTATAGGGCCATCATTCCCTCATTCCCTACTAAGAACCAGGGGGTTTTGAACCTGTCTATGGTTCAAGTTCCCTCGTAAACCCCATGAAGCATAAGTTGACCACCCTGTTCTTCAGTCAGTATCGTCACTGTGGAACCTAGGATTAGAAGACACCGTTGCTGAAGCTGGAGTGCAGCCCGGGGACGTCTTGACCTTGCAAGTGCGGCAAACTGCAATCGCAGCCACAGTTGGGGCCTTTGCTGCCATTCTGGGTGATGGATCTGTGGTGACTTGGGGTGCTTCTGCTTCTGGTGGCACTTGCAGCGCAGAGGCTGGGTGAGCCCTTAGGACATTTTTGCTTTTCCCTTGTGGGGTTTGCGAGGATCATACTAAGCCAGCTGTGCAACCCAGCAGCCTGCAAGACAAGATGATCAAGTTCCGTTCCCGTTCCGGCGTCCCGGGGTGGCAAAGGGGCCCCCCCCCGCCTCTTAGAGGGATGGAAACCCTAAACCCTTCGGCTTTTTGGAAACCCTAAGCCCTAAATATATTTTCAGACTTTTTTAAAGGGCCATCCCAGCAGAGGTCACAAAGGTGCGAGAGGTCAAAGCTGCGCATGCGGCATTTGCTGCCATCCTGGAAGCCTAGGGATACTTGGGAATCGTTTTTTGTCACGTGAATTGCGAAGAAACGGCTGAAATTATACTTCCTAAGAAACAGCTAGAATTGGGATACTTGGGAATTTTTTTAAAAATGTTTGTTCCTAAGTAACAACTAGATTTTTTTATTTATTTTTGACATTTTGATTCCCAAGAAACAGCTAAAATTTGTAATTTTGGGGCACTTTAATTCCCAAGAAGCAGCTAAACAATGACATGTTTTGCAAGGGTTCCAAGTTCAACATAGGACGATGGTTCCGTGGTGGCTTGGGGGGATCCCGATTACGGGGGCGACGCCCAAGAGGTGCAGGACCAACTACGGGATGTGCGGCAGATCCAAGCTACTTACTTGGCCAGTAGGTCAACTTTTAGCTTTGTTGGGTTGCCTGATTTGTTTAGGAGGAATGCTTTTTTAGGAAGAATAAAGTCTAACCTTTGTGAATTAAGTCTAACTTTTGTATTCCTTCATTCTTGGAGAAGTAGAAGGCGACAGAGACGGCCTTCGCGGCCGTCCTTGGCAACGGCGCTGTGGTAGCTTGGGGTGAGGCAGATGCGGGCGGAGTCTGCAGAGCTGTGCCTAGGATCTATCTAAAGATGTATTTTCACTACGTATGTTTCTTAGACATGTGTCAGTTGATAGATATAATCCATCATCATCAAAGCCAACCCAAAACCCAAAACCCTAAACCCCCTAATTAAACCCTTCCAAAAGCCTAAACCCTAAACCCTAAACCCCTTCAGGTACAGGGAGAGCTGCAGAATGTGGTGGCCATCCAGGCCACGGGAGCAGCGTTTGCTGCCCTCCGGGGCGATGGGTCTGTAGTGACCTGGGGGCATCGCTACTCCGGCGGCGACAGTAGCAGAGTGCAGGGCCGATTGAGAAGCGTACAGCAGATCCAGTCCAACAGGACTGCTTTTGCTGCCATTCTGGAAGATGGTTCTGTGGTGACATGGGGGGTTGCATACTGCGGCGGCAACAGCGACGCCGTACAGGAGCAGCTTCAGAACGTGCAATCTATCCAGTCGACACAAACCGCCTTTGCTGCCATCCTGGGCAACGGATCTGTGGTGACTTGGGGAGATACCTACTCGGGCGGTAGCAGCAGTGAAGTACAGGAGCAGCTTGTGAACGTGCGCCATATCCAGGCCACTTCGGGAGCCTTTGCTGCCATCCTGACGACCAAGTCTGTCGTGACCTGGGGGTCCCCTAGTCTTGGTGGGGACAGCAGCGCCGTGCTGGAGCAACTCCAGAACGTGGAGCAGATCCAAGCTACGCAAGCGGCCTTTGCTGCCATCCTGGGCGGTGGGTCGGTCGTGACCTGGGGACATGGCGACTATGGCGGTGACAGCCTTGCAGTTCAGGAGCAGTTGAGGGGCGTGCGGGAGATTCAGGCTACCAAGAAGGCGTTTGCTGCCATCCTGGATGATGGATCTCTGGTGACCTGGGGGCAAGGCTCTCCTGGCGATGGCAGCACTCTGGTACGCCTTGTACAGGAGCAGGTTCGGTGTGCTCAGGGGGTCCAAGCTACCGAGGCAGCTTTCGCTGCCATCCTGAGCAATGGGTCTGTGCTGACCTGGGGAGTCCCCTATGCTGGTGGTGACAGCACAGCCGTCCACGAGCAACTGCGAAAAGGACGCCGTGGGCCCATATGTGGGCACTTCTGTCTCCAAACCCTAGACCCGAACCCCTACCTCTAAGCCCTAAACTCCTCAACCCTGCATCCCGGAGCCCTAAACGATTAGGTTTAGGGTTTAGAGTTAAGGTTTAGGGTTTATAGGACTTAGGGTTTTATAGAACCCTTGTGGTAGAAGCCCAGTAAACCAATTAAGAGCATGCTTGTTATTCTTCGGCTGCCGGGGAACCCCTTTTTCAACTGAGGGACGTGCGAAAACCCCAAAACACTGAATCCCAAACCCTCAAACCCTAAACCCTAAACCCTAAACCCTAAACCCTAAACCCTCAAACCCAACCCTCAACCTAACCCCATAGCCCCATGCCTCCGCGACGTTGAACCGTAAGCTTCCAAAGCTGAAAACCAAATCCCTGAGCCCTTCAAACTCCAAAGTGCCCCAAGCCCTTACCTTCTTGATTATCCCAAAAGCCTCAAGCCTTACACCCTAAAGCCCGCCTTTTGATTAATTACCAAAAGCACAAAGTCCTCAAAACCACACAACGCCCAAACCCTTGAATCCCCAAGCACCCTCAAATCGTAGAATATTTCGGGTTGGCATATTTGGGAGTAGCACGCTTTGATGGTTTTTCTTCTTCATGAGACCTGTAACGTGTTGCGCTCGGTGAGCGTCTTTGAGCTCACTGCAAACTGTCATTATAGAAGAATAACCGCCCAAAACCCTATTCGAGTTATGAAGGCCCCTATATAAGGGTTGGGCTTTCAGGTCCCTCAAAGCCGTTTAAACCCAAGCGACCTCTCAGGTGTGAAATCCCTTGAGCTCCAGCCGCCTTCACAGAATCGCCGGTGGGAGGCGACCCTGCTTCCTAAATCCTAAACCCTGAACCCTAAACACTAAACCCCCAAATGAGCCCTGAATTCTTTCGGTCTTAGGGTCTGATGGCATGTTCCTGGTGCGGGGCTAGGGTTTAGGGTTTAGGGTTTCTGGCTAGGGCTTAGGGTTATCTAAGGGTAGTTACATGGTCCCTTTATGTAGGGCCCTTGCCTTCTTTAGAGAGTTCTAAAGTATGCGCCCTCGGATTTTATGGGGTGTATTAGGGGTATATTCGGGGTCCCCATATAAGGGCCCATACTAAGGGACCATGTCTTGACCCTTCGAACCCTGCAGTATGTTTCGGGCCAAACCCTATAACCCTAAGGGTCCATGTACCTTATTATTATATACTTAGACCCAAAAGTCCTTCTATAGGAAGTACTTTAAGGCCCAAGTCTTCCACAATTAGGTACATGGACCCTGAGGGTAAGCTACCAAACCAGCAAGGCCTTCAAAGGTTCACTGCTGAGGGGTTTAGGGTCTAGGGTTTAGGGTTTAGGGTTTAGGGTTTAGGGCTTTAGGGTTTCGGGTTTAGGTTTTAGGGAATTTTCGGGACCCTAAACTCGACACCAAACCCTCAACCCAGCACCCTACACCCTGAAGCCCCAGAGCTCTGAGAGCCTTAAAGCTGAAGTCCTGGAGCCCAACCCCAAACCCCAAACCCTAAAACCTAAACCCCAAACCCTAAACCCTAAACCCTAAACCCTAAACCCTCAGAGCCTTTAAGCCGAAGTCCTGGAGCCCTTCGCTGAGGCGGTGGGCTTGAACGCCCCGGATGGCGAACGCCGCGCGGCCAAGTTGTTGGGCCATTGCTGGTTTAGGGGTTTAGGGTTAGAGTTTAGGGTTTAGGGTTAGGGTTTAGGGTTTAGGGTTTAGGGTTTAGGGTTTAGGGTTTAGGGTTTAGGGTTTAGGGTTTAGGGTTTAGGGTTTAGGGTTTAGGGTTTAGGGTTTAGGGTTTAGGGTTTAGGGTTTAGGGTTTAGGGTTTAGGGTTTAGGGTTTAGGGGTTTTGGGTTTGTTTTTTTTTTTTTTTCGGTGTAGGGTGTAGGGATGTAGGGGTTTAGGGGTTTGGGGGTTTAGGGGTTTAGGGCTTTAGGGGTTTAGGGTTTAGGTTTTCGGGTTTGGGGTTGTTTCTTTTGCGGTTCAGACTTGAATTGGTTGAGGGTTAAGGGTGGATCGGGATGCTTTGTGGACCCCCAGAACAGTCCTAGTATCACGGGGTGCCCAAAGCCCTAAACCTGGAGGAGCTGCTTTCGAACGTTGGTGGTATCTACCCTATTCCACCCTGAAACCCTAAACACCCTTAAGCCCTCAAAAGACCCAAATATCCTAAACAAACCTTGCACCCCGAGCATTCCTTGGGACGCATACTTGGGCTGCGACAGCAGCCCGCAGGGAGGCAGGGACTTCTTCGTATAGTGGAACTGACCCTAAACCCTAAACCCTAAACCCTAAACCCTAAACCCTAAACCCTAAACCCTGTAGAAGCACTGCCAATGTCGACGTGCTTGGGCTGTTGGGTGACGGTGGCCATATGGCCAGGAGGATTCTCCCATTCGCAACCACAAAGGCCAGCAGCTAATGATCAAGGGATGAAGACTCGTACCCCTAAGCTTGTACCCCTAAAGGTTTCCCTTAATGTACTCCAAATATGGCCCTTAGGTTTCTTCAGGGATCCTTAAAAGAGGGCCCCAAAACGTAAGTGTGCCCAACCTTTAGGGTCCAAGGCAGAACCCCTAGAAGTGAAGGTTCTGGGCCTGGAGTCGAGCGATTTGCAATGCACAATCCAGCGCACCATGTCATTGCTGTGCGACTTTGGTGCAGGCACCCTAAACCCTAAACCCTAAACCCTAAACCCTTAAACCCTAAACCCTAAACCCTAAACCCTAAACCCTAAACCCTAAACCCTAAACCCTAAACCCTACCTTCAAAACCCTGAAGCCCTCAGCCCTCAATACTCGAGATCCTGGGAAGCCAAGGAACCCGTAGACTTTTAGACGCTCAACCCTAAACCCTCAACCCTAAACCCCCAAACCCTCAATTCAAACCCTCAACCCCTCAACCCCTAAACCCCTAAACCCCTAAACAATTAAACCCCTAAACTCCTAAACAATTAAACCCCTAAACCCCTAAACCCCTAAACAATTAAACCCCTAAACCCCTCAGCCCCTAAGCCCCTAAACCCCTAAGCTACGAGAAGCCGAGGTGAGAAGATGGTGGCGCCCGTAAAGCTCGAAGGGCCCGTAGAAGTCGGGGAGCCGAGACACCCTCTTTTAAGGAGTTCGGGGTTCGGGGTTTAGGGTCAAGGGGGGTTTAGGGTTTCAGGGGTTTGGGGCTTAGAGTTTAGTTTAATTAAGGTTTTAAGGGTTTAGGGTTTTAGGGGATTATGGTTTAGGGTTTAGCGGCTTAGGGTTTAGGGGTGCCGGGGTTTAGGGATGAATTGTTTAACTGGGATCTTCAACCCTGTACTGCTGTAGGTCCCTGGTGGAGTTGATATGGACCATTTAGGGTTTAAGGTGTATGGTTCAGGGTTTGGGGCTAAGGTTCTGTAACTTGCAGCAGTTTTGAGGATTCAACTTGGGCTTTTTGGGGTTTAGGGGTAAGAGGAAAAGTTCTTTTCGGGCTTGAGGTTCTTAAGGGTGGTCGGATGGGGCTCAGAGACCCTAAACCCTAAACCTGCAAGTTGAGGAGTTTAGGGGTCTGGGGTCTGATGTGCAGCCTATGGTTGGGCTCCGATGCGCCACGGGCGGGGGGGTACAATTTAGGGTTTAGGGTGTAGGGGTTGTTATTGTTGCTTGTCCTGAGTTGGGGGCATACAAGGAACCTCCCCCCCTTGTTGTAAGTAGATTATAAGGACCTTAAATTGGGTTAAAAGGATCCTAGGTTATAAATCCCTTAGCCGTAGTGCGTACGGTAGAGGCGCCCCTCCTGGTAGTGTAGGCGCAAAGGCCCAAAGGCCCTACCCCCCAAATCCTAAGTCCTAAACCCCTGCGAAGTTTTGCCCCCTGACTTACCCTAAACCCTTAAATCTTCGAGGACGTTAATTTTAGGATCACTTCTTGGCAACCTACCAGCTGGGGCCAACTTTGCTGGTGGGTGAAGAAGTCATGCAGCATCTGGCCACCATGAGCTTCATGACACGGCCTAGGGTTTAGGGTTTAGGGTTTAGGGTTTAGGGTTTAGGGTTTAGGGTTTAGGGTTTAGGGTTTAGGGTTTAGGGTTTAGGGTTTAGGGTTTAGGGTCGCGCCGGAGCTACTTTGACATTCCCCAAGCCAAAAACACGTCCAAGGCGGACATGGGCAAGACTGTCGGGTCCTGTAGGGAGGAGGGGGTGGGTTTCAGGGTTTAGGGTTTAGGGTATCTATGTAACGCGAGGTTCCGGAATACTCCCCCACTACTCCCCAAGGCTCCCTAAGCTTGCCTCATCCCCCATGAACCCCCCTTAGGGACCCCAAGCCCTAAACCCTAAACCCTAAACTCTATAAACCCTAAACCCTAAACCCTAAATCCTTCCCTTAAGGACCCTAAAGGCAAGATAAAAGGCCGAGGCCCTGCAAAATTGGGACGGAGGAGTTGCAGCCATGGCAGTGTAAAGTCCCTCAACCCTAGAAACTTGAAAACCTCGACCCCTTTAGGGGTTTAGGGTTTAGGGTTTAGGGGTTTAGGTAAAAGGGCTCAGGGGTTTAGAGCTTAAGATTTATGGGTTTAGGGCTGCGGGTCCACCCGAAGACCCCTGGACCCCCTGTCGCCCCGAAGTCGCATGGAGAGGTGTGGTTGGGCTTGGTCGAGAAGCGCATGTTCGAGTCCCTGAAAGCCCACCTAGTGAAGTGCCACAACATGCGCCTTGGCAAAGTTGAGTGCCCTGGGCAGAGTTTAGGGTATTTATGGTTTGAATGCTTTTGTGCACCCTCAACCCTATAAACCCTAAACTAAAGCCTGAACGTCAACCCGCTGTTGCGAACTGAAAACTTCGATTTGGGGTGGCGAGGTGAACCCTAAAACTCTCGAGGGATTCGGGTTTAGGGTTTAGGGTTTAGGGTTCAGGGTTCTGGGTTTAGAGTTTAGGGTTTAGGGTTTAGGGTTTTTTTTGCGGGTCCTCAGTCCTCTGCCCCCCATTCCCGAAATGCGCCGACCGGAAGATTTCCTCCTGAGACCCCTGATCCCCGAAGCCCTTCATCCCGCAGATCCCAGACCCAATTATTATTTTTCCCCTTTTGCTTACATTGCTTGGTGGTCTCTTTAAAGTAGGGTTTCTGTTCTGTGGGGGGGGTTCTTATTAGGGTATCTAGGGGCCATATTCAGGTATAAGGGCAACAGCTAAAGAGACCACCGGCCTTTGTAACCTTTTGCTATTATTATTGCAGTGATATAATTTTTATGATTATTATGATCATTATTATTATTAAGGCCCTAGTGGCCCCCTCAACTCCCTAAACCCGAGAGAGCCGTCCATAATCCTCCCGAAGCCCTATAAACTCCAAATCCCCCCACTTAGTAGTAGAGCAGGCAACTTTTTAAGCAACTTTTTAAACTTTTTTGGGGGTATGATAATCCCCATGTATTCCCAATGGTCAACCTTTGTTCCCCTCCAAGCCTAGCGACATTCTATATTTCCCCCACATTGGGTTTAAGAGGATCATAAGAGGATTATTTATATGTAGGAACAGCTTTCAGAGGGTTTTAAGGGCCATCCTAGAGCCTCGTTTAGGGTTTAGGGTTGAGGTTTTAGGGTTTAGGGTTTGAGGGTTTAGCGCATGATTCAGTTGGTTTCAGCTTGATCATGCTTTTACATGGACGAGAGACCCTCGTGTGATGGCTGCCTGTGTCACGCGAGCCCGAATGCTGCAGGCGAATTGAGGGTCGTACCCGCGAGTTTCAGAACCGGGGCGACCGGCGAAATTGCAGAAAACGCTCCCGCAGGGCGAGCCAGACAGGCGACGGCACGAGTCATGTCAGCGGACCTTCGTGGGGACGGCCGCGAGCATTGCTTGAAGTGCCGATCAGGCCTCATGCATTCGCCACAGTACGTACTGCTTGACGACGTGTACGTGCGCGCGCAATTTCTGCATCTTTACCACCGACCCTAACCCCTAAACCCCTAAACCCCTAAACCCCTAAACCCCTAAACCAATGCCGAGAACCAGTGGGCAGTGACATCACAGTCCTTCGCCTTCCCAAGTGTTTCGACCGCTGCGCCACGCGCAGTGCTGTCAACACCTTCCCAACCCTAAGCCCTAAACTGAAAACCCCTAGGACCCCAAACCCTAAACCCGAACTAATCGGTCCCACCCTTCGTATAAATATAAATATGAATATAAATATACATATACATAAATCTAGATAAATAAATATATAATATGAATATACACATATACAGATATATATATATATATATATAGTGTGAAGGGTTTTGGTTTTCGGCAGGTTCTTATTCCCTTGATTGAGGTGTGTGGGTTAGGTTCCCTTATATCCCTCTTCAAGCAACATTCCAAAAGTGACTCTGGGATCTCGGTTTCGAAGTCCCGTTTATAGTCAATGTTCCAGGTTCTCCCTAAACCCTTGACGAACCAAACCCCAAACCCCAAATCACGAACCCCAAGCCCCAAGCCCCAAACCCCAAACCCCATTCTTACAGTAGGGTGGCTATCTAGGGAGGGGATGAGGTTTTTTAGTCAGTCGGTTCGGTCGGTTGGTTTCTTGGACCCCTAAACCCTAGACCCTACACCAAGCCTAAACCTTAGGGTTTAGGGTTTAGGGTCTAGGGTTTAGGGTTTAGGGTTTAGGGTTTAGGGTTTAGGGTTTAGGGTTTAGGGTTTACCCTAAACCCTAAACCCTAAACCCATGAGGGTCTATGGGGTGCCGAGGCCTCAGGGTCTGCGAGATTTTCGGGTCTCTACCCTGAATCCTATAAGCCCTAAACCTTGAACTGCAACACCGGTCTCGGGTTTTGGGTTTAGGGTTAGGGTTTAGGGTTTAGGGTTTAGGGTTTAGGGTTTAGGGTTTAGGGCTTAGGGTTTAGGGTTTAGGGTTCAGGGTTTAGGGTTTAGGGCTTAGGGCTTAGGGTTTAGGGTTTAGGGTTTAGGGTTTAGGGTTTAGGTTTAGGGGTTTCCTGCGCCAGGAATATCAATCCCAAGGCAGGCCGCATGGACTTTGGGGTTGTTTGGGTCGTGGGTGGTTGGGTTTTGAGGTTTGGGGTTCTGTTTGTAGGTGCCGTTTTGCCCCAAACCCTAAAGCTAGGTCTAAGCTGAGCGAGTCCGGGTCTATGTCTTGGGTATAGGGTTTAGGCCAACCAGGCATTAGAGTCTACTGAAAGCCATATGCACTGCTACGGTGCTAGGGTTACAATGGAAAGGGCCTATAGGGTTTGGGGTTTAGGGGAGTCAGGCATAACGCGGGGTTCCGGCTGATGAACTGGAACACTGGCTTTCAGGCTGTCAGGGCACTTCTTTCAACCCTAAGCCCTAAATCCTAAACCTTACACCCTCAACCCTAAACCCTGAGCTCCAGACTAAACGAACCCCTGCCCACGAGGCTAGCAAGCCTTGCGCAATGTGCTCTCAACCCTAAACCCCATGCTCTAAACCCAAGCCCTTTTTGAGATTCAGGGTGAGTCCCGCGAGTTGCCCTAAACCCTAAACCCTAAACCCTACACCCTAAACCCTAAACCCTAAACCCTAAACCCTAGATCCGTTCGGCAACCGCATGGCATGGCTGAGGGCCGATAGGGTTTAGGGCTTCAAGGGCTTTAGGGTTTAGACCTCTTGGGGTCTGGGTTTTTGGGGGCTTCCAGGGTTTAGGTTTAGGGTTTAGGATTTAGGGTTTTGGGTTTTGGGTTTTGGGTTAGATGCCCCGTAGCCTGGGCGCTCCCGTGAGGCGATGAAGAAGGAGAAATGGGTCAAAGAGTTTTTGGGACAGCTCCTGCGCCACGGTGGCACTTGGGTGGTGCAATCTGGGCTTTGGGTTCGGGGTGTTAGGGTTAAGGGTTTAGGGTTAGGGTTTAGGGTTTAGGGCTTAGGGTTTCGGGGTTTGGGGGTTTGGGGTTTAGGGTTTAGGGTTGAATCCAGGACTGTTTCCGGCCCTCTCTGTTGACCCCTTGCGCAGTTTGTCCCTACAACCTCACAACCCGCAGTGCCCTTCGAGAAGCCTTGTACGGCTAAGGTATCCTACCCAAAACACTCCAAACCCTGAAGCTACTTAACCCAAAACCCTAACCAAACTCAAAGCCCAAAACCCTAACCCTTGTTCCCCGTTTGTCCGGGAACCCTTAGCATCTAAGCCCTCGAGGGTTTGGGTATTTTGGGTTTAGGGTTTAGCGTTTAGGGATTTTGTGGTTTGAGTGTTTGGGGTTTTAGAGAGTGTAGGACTGGTCCGATTCGATGCGGGTCCGGTTCGGGGGTCCGTCTGGTGGTCCAGGGCTTGGCGGGGCATCGGATTTCGCAAGCCCTAATAATCTAAAGCCCTAAAGTTTAAACCCCAAAGGCTCTTTTCTCAAAAAACCTGGAGACCTCAAGCCCCAGACCGAGAAGCTCAAACCCCAAGTGCGGAACGCGATGTTTTTCGAGTTTGGGGTTGGCTACAAAGCCAACTTCCCCTCCCACCCGCCCCGGCTGCCCTCATACATCTAGACGCGATATACCCCCACACCCTAAACCCTAACCCTAAACCCCTGAACCCTAAGCCCTAAACCCCTAGACCCTCCAGGATTACTTCGGGACAGATCGCGTGGACCACGGACTGCGCGGCCGCCCTCGTGAAGGCACCGGCAGACATGCAGGTTCAGGGTTGGGGTTCAGGGTTTAGGGTTTGGGGTTTTCGGTTTATGTTGATGGACCCTAGGGTCAGCCAGCTATTTCAAAACCCCTTTTAAGTTTTAAGTCCTATACAACCTCCTGTATGTCCCAGAGTAGTATTTATATCCGTCCTATAGTAATATCTATGTACAGTGGGGGGGGGTGGGGTTTAGGTTGTAGGGTTTAGGGTTTACAGAAGGGAGGGGTGAAAGTTTGGTTTTAGGGTTTAGGCTGCAGAGTGTTGCTGGTTTGGGGACTTAGCAGGGGGGGTGGGTGTTAGGTCCTTGCAATTCTGGGCAGTCATTCTGTTTCCCCCGTCCAGGTTCAAAAGGATCTTATGCGGAATTATACGAAAAGCTTCGGCTTGTGGTCGAGAGCAAAGCCCACCTGCGTGCGGCAGCGTGTGGCACGCCCGCGTAACGTGGCTCGCACGTGTAAGCCAGGATTTGCCCCAGCGAAGCCGGGCCAATGCCCCAATTGCCCCCACGTGCAAGCCAGGATTTGCCACAGCGAAGAACCCCAGCCAATAGACCATGAATCGTGAGGCGATCCGCCAAATCCCATCGAGGCCTGTATATCCCAGAAGCCACCCTTGTTTTCGTTCTTTTTGTTTAGGACCCCATGTGAGCCTCTCCTTTCTGACGTTGTATTCTTCGAGGAAACCTGAACCTATACCCTCAGCCCTAAACCGTTATACCCCTCAAAGCCCTAAAACCCAAAAGCCCTCAAAGCCCTAAAAGCTAAAAAAACCTTAAAACCCTTAAAGGCCTAAACCCCTAAACCCCTAAACTTCCTTAACCCCTAAACCCCTGAACAAGCTTAAAAACCCTTAAAACCACTAAAACCATTAAACAATATGTATAAAACTAAACCCTAATGACCTAAACCCTAAACCCTATAGACCTATAAACCCTAAACCCACGGGAACCTGAACCCAAAACCTAAACCCTAAACCCTGTAGCCCTAAGCCCTAACCCCTTTATATAGACCCTGAGCCCTCAAACCCTCAATTCTAAACCCTGCACCCTATAGCCCTAGACCCTAAACCCTAAACCCTAAACCCTAAACCCTAAACCCTATAGCCCTAAACCCTAAACCCCATAGATCCTGAACCCGGAGGTGGAGAAAGGGCAGAAGAACGCTCTCAGGAGTGCTGGAGTGCTTAACCGAGATTGGGGTTTAGGGTTTAGGGTTTCGGGTTTAGGGTTTAGGTTATGTTATTCCCAAATCTCGACACCCGAATCTTTCTGGTTCTTAGGGAGTTAGGCGCCTTACACCTGCACATTGTTCTATATCCGTAAGTGGACTACATGGGGTACCAACTTAAGCAATGCTTTCGTGCACCGCGAGTTGTTGCTGTTGGTGGGCCTCACAAGCGCGGCCCATGTGCTGCATGACGGACTGATGCTGTGGGAGCCACAGCGTTTCGGGTTGACAACGGTTGACAGCGTCCTTTAGGGTTTAGGGTTTAGGGTTTAGGGTTTAGGGTTTAGGGTTTAGGGTTTAGGGTTGCATTCTGCCAGAACTCCTTCATCAGGAGTTTCCTCGCAGTCATGTGTGGAACCAGAGAGGCCCCCGCGAACAGACCTGCTGTTGAAGGGCACCCCTCCGAACTTGAGAAGCAACATGAAGCAATGGGGCCGTGCCCAGGGCTTGCAGCTCCTAACTTGTAGGGTCCTTAAGGGTGGGGGGTAGGTACCCAGGGAACCTTAGGGAAGCTTGGGGAGCCTTAGGGAGTAGTGGGAAGTATTCACTTTGGGTTACATACCCCCCTTTGAACCCCCCTCCCTTAAGAACCCTTTAAGACCTTGGCTGGGCAAGGGGTCATCTACGTTGTGGGCCACACTCGGGTCGGTTCTCTATGTTAGTTTACGGAACTCCTTGCAGTGTTAGGTCCTGGCAAAGGGTCCAGATATTGGGAGCTGGTGAACTCCTAAACCCTCAACCCTAAACCCTGCCTGCGGAATGTTTTGGGAATCCTTAATCAGTCATTGGGTGTCCTGAAAAGGGAGTTGGGTATGCAGGATTTACGGTCTGGTTCTCAGTAGGGAAGAAGCAAAGAGTTAATCCATTAAGGTGTATGTATACAAGTCCCTCTTGTCCTACTAAGAACCACTACTCATAAATCCCAAGCCCTAAGCTCGAAACCCTAAACCGTACTGAAAACCAGTAGCCCTGAACCCGAAAACCTAAACCCTACTAAGAACCAGTAGGCCTAGACCCCAAACCCGAAACCCTACTAAGAACCAGTCGGATTCTGTGTAGATTTTTGTGGCTCAGAGCTTGATGTTGGCCATTTTGAAGCTTGTGCTTCAGATCCCAATCCTTGAACCCTAAACCCTAAACCCCAAATCCCAAACCCCAAACCCTAAACCCCAAACCCCAAACCCTAAACCCCAATCCCCAAAACCCAAGCCCCAAACCCCACCCCCAACCCCCTAATCCAACAGACGCCAGAGGATGCTCAAGCGAACACAGAGCAAGTATATCAGCAAGCTCTGTGAGATGATCCGAAAGGGCCTGACCAAGCTTTTCGGCGGCGGTTTTTTGTTTGAGGTTTAGGGTTTAGGGTTTAGGGTTTAGGGTTTAGGGTTTAGGGTTTAGGGTTTAGGGTTTAGGGTTTAGGGTACGGGGGGACAACCAAGGAAGGAAATCAACTCCCTAATCGCCCTGAACTTATATTTCCCAGATCGAACCAAGAAACAAACAAGAACACGGATAAGAGCAACCCAGGGGGGAAGGAAAGGGGGAAGGAATCCACACCCTTACCAAACCCTAAGAACCCAGGCACTACTTTTTGAACTTGTGGCTTTCTGTTCAAGCCCATCTTGAGCCAAACATGATTTCCGGGTTCATTAACCCTTCCAACTCTCAACACTAACTCTTTTCTACAATACCAATTGCAGCTCCGCACTCCCCCTGTCCTAGGATTTCCTAGGACACATTGGAGATGCAGATCTTTTGGCCAAAAACTGCCATTAAGGCAGCAGCCAGCTGCTTGAAATGCATGTTATGGTTTAACGTCTTCCAGGACGGAATTATAGCACATTGGCTAACCTACTACCCACAGAGAATCTCTTTTCACCATGATCCTCTCATCACTGAAGACTCCTTGGCCTTCTTCACCACAAACCGTGGTCTTCGCTACGCGAAAAGCTACTGACTTCTACTATCAGGGATTTCCATACCCTTAATAGTAACCACCACATTGTCAGCACATTGGCTGTTCCAGCGCACCTGTCTCCAGAAAGAGAAAAACCATCCCTTCATCCATACCATCCAATCACTTCTTTTTCCGATTGTTGGCAATCTTGAGGTGAAGTTGCAGCAGAATATACTCCAGGTCCGAAACTGTAAGAACAGGATCCTGTACGCCCCTTTGAATTGAGGATACCAATCCTTCTCTCTTTGCGTCCTCAATCGCCTGGCAAGATTGACCCAGCTCTGCATTCGCAGTGGCAGACCCTGGTGCATCCGCATCAGATGGACGATCCTTTTCCTCAGGATCTTGCACCATTACCACCTCTTCTTTTTTGGGACTCTGACTTTTCTCCCTCTTCTTTGTCTTTCCACCGACATTTGACTTTGTGCGCGTCTTCGAGGATTTTTCCACTGCAGAAGCCACCACATTGGATGTTGATCCACCCTTCTCAATGATCGTCGGCATCTTCTTCGGCTTTGGAACCATGAGAGTGTAAGGATCTTCGATAGCTGCAGCTTTCCTCTTCTTTTTTACCTTTTTCTTCTCTTCTTCAACGGCAACCTCCGTCTCCGAAGTCTCAACCACTCCTTTTTCGGCAGGAATATCCTTGCTGGACTCCCTTTCTAGGGACCTCTTTTTACCTCTTTTGGAATCCTTTTCCTCTCCCAAATTGGCTCGCTCATACCATATCCTCAGGTCATTGACCCATTCTTCCACCTCCGCGAGCGAAACCTCATACGACTTCACTACTTCGAGAAGTTCCAGCACGGTCAACATTTCAGTGGTCCACGAAACCCATTCTTGATCCATTTGGTCAGCATCTCCAGTGAACTTCAGGAGTTTGAACAATGGGTCCGCCTCTGCTCGAGCCAAATCTGGCTTGCCACTGGACAGAAATGAAATCGCCTCCATCAACAGTTCCGTCATCTTGGTCTCTTCGTCATAAACCATAAAATCCTCCTCATCATCATCGAACTGTTCAGGAGAGATCTCCTTTTCTCCACCATTTGCACCAGACTTTCTCCTTGGACCATCCCTTGGGGGCGTCCTTGGAGACCTTGGCCTCTGTTCTTCCAGCGGAACACCATGCTCGAAGACACACCTGTCACCAAACCGACACTTCCCAGACCGAGCAAACTGGACGCACCTCACACCAGTTGCATCATGCGAGAACCCACAATCCTTTCCAGCGAAACATTCTCTCCCTGCCACATAGTATTTACACCAATACGAATGTAGCACCACATCATCTTCGGAATGGATGAATTTGCAGTCGTCACCAAATTTGCAGCGATCTTTCCCCTTGCCGAACCAATAGCAGAAGCCCTTCTTCCTCTTCTCCAAGCGCTCTGCCTCATACCGGTCCATAGGGCGATTGTGCTCTACATGAACATTGCCATGTACCTGGGGACTGCTCCCTTCACCCGACGTGCTATCAGTATTTGGTGCTTGGAGTACAGCTGGAAAACCTGGCCTTGGTCCTACCACCTTCATGATCGGTTTTCCGCCAACTCCTGAGCCATGCTGAGACGATCCAAAAACATTGAACATCTTCGTGAAGGCCTTTCTAGTGCCAATCTTCTGCACCCTTTTGATTGGACGTTTCATTGCTCCAACCTTGCATCCAGATGCGTTCAAACGACACAACCTCCTATAACCAACTCTATGTCCCTTCTTCCAAAGAGCCATAAGAATTTTAGAGGCAGTAACATTCTCCACCTCTACCTTTTCCAATGGTCCCTCACTTCCCGGAACAAACCCATCCATATCTGAAGACCTTTCCATCTTTTTTGACACCACTTCGTCGAGGTAGTCTTCCGAGATCCAGGGTAAGTTCCCCTTAGAGGAAGGATTGTCATCATTGTTTGGTCCTTCACCAGGATACCCTTTTGTGCTGTCAAAGATCTTACCAGTAGTGCGGTCCTGCATAGAGAAATTCGAAGCCACGCGGGAGTACACTGACCACAAGAAAATCCTTGTGTCCGCCAGTCTTGATGACCCACTGGATGTCTCCTCTTCCGGAGAAACTTCTGGCGCTTTGCCATCCCCTCCAGTGTCACCACTTGTCTCACCTCCAGCATCTTCAATGGGAATAAGGGATTCATTGTTCCCTTGATCAAGCACCGCATCCTCTGGTCCAAGAACTTCCAGCACCGCTGTCGAAGGATCCACCTCTTCATCAGCATCGTCGTCCATCCTTCTCCAGAGAGCCTCCAATTGGTCTGCACAAGTCGCCGCTTGAAGGAACTCCATCAACCGGCCCCTCCCGCGCTGCCAGAGAAATTCCGAAACCATCACCGACCCCTGGGCTCCAAGATTCAGGAACGGGTGAACCATTTTGGCTACCCTCGCCATAAGTTCAATGTGAACTTCCATGCCTGGACTGCGACTCCAATCATAGGCAATTGCCTCCATAGCAGTTCCAAACTTGTCAGTATTCTTGAATTCCCCTTCCAGACCAGGAGACAACAAGGCACCCATCACCGAAAGAGGGTAATTTCCCACCGCCGGCAAGCACGGGTTGTCATGGAACGAATGATGCAGGTCACTATAATGTCCTTGATCTCTCCTTTGAAAAAGGAGTGCTCCAGTCCCTAGCTGGGCATTCATTTCATCCACTTGAACCATTTCAGCACATATCCTCTGTGCCATGTACGCCATTGCTGGCCAGACGGAACGATCGGTAAGACCGCGACGCATAACCCAATCAGTTGTTGGCGACTGAATCAGCGTCCTTGGATCATACACCAGAACTACCATCGCACCGTCACCCATTGACTGATCAGCATCGTCCTCCAGTGCCAGGTTCTCATCCTGTTCGCTTGCACCCTCGGATGACATGCTAATAACCAAATTTCGATCCATCTTATTGGACCCTTTTTGGCAGTCTCTTTGCCCCACCGGCAACTTGCCAACTGCAACCTTCCAATAAATCCGAGTCAGAAGACCTTTAACCAGCAATTGCTGAAGGTCATTCCTCACCGGACAAACATCCAATATCTTCGCACCATCACCACGGAGTTCATTGCTCCCACCTTCTCCTTCTTTTTGGTCAGTCTCCTCGCCAGAAATTTGTACTGCTCCTTCCAGCGCCGTCTCCTGTCCAGCCACTTCTTGCCCAGGAAGAACTTGAGCGCTTTCAGATACATTCACCTGTCCAGCAACACCTTGCCCAGGTAAAACCTCATCCGTGGAGCCCACCGCCAGCGAACCAACCATAACTGAACCATCCCTTGCTCTTTTTTGAGACCGTTCAGCTCGACGAGAAGGTTGTGGTAGCGAAAAAACTTGTGAAGTCACTTCTTGGCGGGTCTCCCCCCGCGACGCTTTGTCGCGCCCTTCGCCAAGGTGAACCGATTTTTTCGGCCCGTCATTGGAGCCTGAAGAACCACTTTGCGGAACATTGCCACGATTCGCAGTTCTCTGTGAATCCCTTTCTTGCAAAAAGATTTCCTTCAGGCGTTGCGCGGCATTGGTCTCCTCTTCGCTTGAATCGCTTGAGGAAGCGGCATACGAGACCAAGGCCTCCGCCTGTTCATCATCATCCACCACATCTGCCCACGCTCTGCTGAACCGATACGACAACCCACCACGAGGCTTCAGTTCCAGTGGCTTCGGCTTTTCCACCACTTCCGCCGGTTGCACTCGTCGTTGTGACCGAGAGCGTGGCACCTGTCGCACTTGTTTTTTTGTCCAGCAAGGGCCTTCCCCTTCTCACAGGGTTTGATCTTGACCGATATTTTTTTGTTGGTGGATTCACCGGCGGCATTCCAACTCCCACCAACCGCAGCTTCTGTACGCACAACGGAGACCTCTGCGCAAGCGTCCAACCATCACGGTACCTGACCTTATCAAAAAGCTCCCGATAGGAGCCTCTCGGCATGGTTTTTGCACCGGAGTCTTCAGCTTCACGCACCTGAGTGAGGGTTCGCACCGCCGCTCTTCCAGTTCCTTTGTTCCCAGAAGATTGTTGTACCCGTACGGATGCATCAGAAGGAACTGCTTTTTCCGGTCCTCCCGGGCGATATCGGACATCACCAACCAATTGCAGAATTTTGCATGCGGTCACTTTGTTGATCCCTTTGTCAACCAAATCTTCCACAAAGATGAACTCTTGCAAGTCCGACACATTGGTCACACCAAGCGTAATCATCACCTCACTTACATGAGGGGTATACACCCACAGGTGTTCGTTGCGAGCCATCCAATTTTCAATTGGCTCCTCCGGATTTTGAAGCCGAGTACCAGTGGATGCAGCCACCGAATTCTTTTGTTCATCAGCTTCTGCTTCATCCAGAATACCTTTTTCACCATCTTTTTGTGACA